AACAGTGAAGGATGTGTATCTGAAGCTGCTCTCTCTGGGCCTGCGAGCGCTCGTCTACAACGGAGACACCGACATGGCCTGCAACTTCCTGGGAGACCGGTGGTTTGTGGAGGACCTCGGCATAAAGGTAGCTTTAATTCTAGTAAAGTGTGTTTTTCTTCCACAGACACAGGCTTAACTGTACTAACTTGTTCTTCGTAGGCGACCACTAAGTACCAAGCCTGGATTAATGACGACCAGATCGCTGGTTTCTATCAACAGTTTGGAAACATCACTTTCCTGACCGTTAAGGTGAGCAGTAATGCGTTGTTGTCCTGTTTCAGGTTGAGGACTGCTGACTGTAAAATATTGCTTTTATGTGTGTTTCAGGGCGCCGGTCACATGGTTCCTCAGTGGGCTCCCAGTCCAGCTCTCCACATGTTCCAGTCCTTCATAACAAACGGGCCCTACTGAGCACAAATGGAGACTCTATAACACACCTGCACTCATTACTTGTTAGATGGTACATTTCACTCAGGGAAAGTCAGTGAAGAGGGGAAAAAAAAAAACTGCTGGGACATTTAATTGTATTTGTAGGATTCATTTTCCATTTTAGTGTGTTGACTTTTTGGATGCTGACATATTTGGTGTTTCTGCATCTTCATCGCGTGAACACTGCAGCTACTGTATCATACATTGTCCCTGTGTTTTAATAAAGGCTGTCAGGGCTGAACTAAGGAGGACAGACCCCATGAGGCGTGATCTAAAAGGGAAATAATACAAGCACAAACAAAATAAGACACAAACCAGGAGAGAGGGGAACTGACTGACCGCCTCAGATGAGCCCAACTCTCAGACAAATCACTAACTTCAATTAAACACCTAAATTAATAATAACACATTGTACAAATCACTCTATTGCCTTCAGTTGGGTTGAGGCCACCTGATCTGATCACAGACTCTGTTAAGCTCCTAAACTTCATTCATGTTGGGGAACCAAGAAGAGACTCATCCTCCAGTGTTCACCAACACAGACGTGATTATCTCATCGTTTCATTAAAACTCAAGTGTCGTGAATTCAAACCCAGAGCAGAACTTATCCATGTTTCCAGCTGTTGAACTAAACTTTGAATAATCTTATGAAGCTATTGTCTGTTGAACTGATGTGCAGCTAAATTTTGTTTTTCAGCAACACAGCATTAAAAAAAAAAATAAATAAAAATCATACCGATGCTAAAACTGCCAGGATCAAAACTGCAAATCCACTTGACTTTGTCTTTTTTTTTTATTATTAAATGCTTTGTTGAACTCTTGGATTGTCAGATTTATTGGCATGCCTTAATTACAGTTCATTTATTAGAGTATCATTGGTAGATCCGTAACATATTTCCATCCAAACTTTCCATTAACATGTTTTCAAGTCATCGGCTATGCAAGACAACATGGAAATGTGATTCTATTCAACAGGTTCCTTGGAAGAAAGTCCATGTCCATATGTCTGAAAACATTTCGTCTGCAGCACCAACATAAAAGAAAATCATTAGACAAATTTAACACAGTTAAGCACCAAATAGAAGCAATTTGTATTATGACATGGATTGCAAAAAAATCTATAAAAACAGTCACATTGCATTGATGGCAGACATTATTACTGTTTTAGCTGCAGCTTCTTTCCCTTCCTCTAAATCATGACGAATGTGTCGCTGTGTTTAGTCCAATGTGACAAATACAACATAATTGCTTTTCTGCATCCCTTTTACCTTTTCTGTCCCTCATATTCACAAAGTAAAAACACCTTGTTTCAGTGGGTTGAACAGGACTGTGAAGTCTTAAATCTCTTTTGAATTATGGATCAAAACATGCACAACATCCTTAATGTTCTTGGCTCTGTCACAGTCTAATCAAATGAACATAAACGGGGAAAGAAGCCTCAGTTTAGTCTGGATTACCATGTAAACCTTTGACCAGTTTCCTTGTTGTGCAGCTTAGTTCAAAAAGTACTTCCATGTATTGAAGTTAAACAAACTTGGAAGCCGACTGTAATCTCAACTCTTCTCTTTAGTGTGAAGTAGATTAGGGTTTGGACATCGCTGCATTAAAAAGAAAGAAGAAAGCTCACACTTTGGTTTTAGGCACACACAAAAAACAAAACAAGAACTATTTAACTTTTGATTCTAGAGGTTGAAACTTGAGGTCTGGAGTTTGATCCGTCGGCTTCATCCCAGTGACTCCACTGTGTCTGACCAGTGCAACTGAATTCTAGGGTTACATTCATTTTTTTTATACACCTGCACCTGGACAGTAGGTATTTCCAACTCATTCTCTGAGGAACCAGCTCTCTTAGATGAAGTTGGGTTTTCATATCCTGAACATGGCGGCGCTGCTCGTCTTAGACGTCCTCCAGGTTCACACACAGACACGCAGCTGTGCAGCCTGTCAGGTAGTTCAAGGTTTTCCATGTTGGCTTTAAGTGAGCGAAGTAGCTTTGTATGATCTAATACTTTTACTGTAACCCTATGAAATATATATCTAAACAAAAAAAAACTAAAGTAAGAAATAAATAACTCAAATGAATTCCTAAGTATGTTTAAATGTCATACATTCTTTTCTTTTGTTGAAAACCTCCCATTTGACTCCAGTATTCTCTGGAACTTGAACTGCCTGGACTTACAGTTCTGTCACTTAAATCCAGTAGACATGCCGAGTCCCAGTGTGTCAACCCATCACTCCATTAACTTTCTCATTGGACAAGAGACAAACGATCAGCAGCACGAACATAAAGTCTGAACCCGGATTAGATTACGGACCTGGAGATGAGAACAACAGCAGGTTGATTTTCAATGATAAGAAACATTTACTTTGACATGCAAGTTAAAATACACAAATTGGTACAATTTCGTTATTTAAAATCAATTTGATTCTAAGGCCTTTCTCTATATTGTCCCTCGGCTCTTGTAAACGGGGCAGGAATGCGTCGTCCAGAGACGGGAGAGGTCAGTCTGTGTCCCTGTGCAGCGGCGACACCGTCGAAAACATGCTATTTAAACTGGACAGGAGACAAAGACCAAAGTGTCTGAAGTCGGTCGGCGTTGTGTGGTGACTCCCTGATTGAGTGAAACACTCTAGTTTTAACTTTGTATGGAGGAGACGATGTGACGAGCTGTAGTGGTCTGGATTTTTGTTTTTCTTTTTTTAAGTGAGTGTCATGAGACGCTGCATGTCATTCAGCAGTCCAGAATAGCAGCACAGGTCTGAGTGCTCCCCGTCTTTGTTACCAAGGACAGTGCTGTCTCGGAGGAAAAAAAAAATCCTTTTAGTTGACAACATCTTGATAGATGGAGTTTGTTGTGGTGAGGCCAAAGATGAAAGCTCCCAGTGTAACCATGGCAACACCGAAGACGACCAATCCGTGCCAGCTGTAGGAGAGAAAAACCAACATTAAATAATATACCGGCCAAAAAAATACGTTTGCTCAAACCTGCATTTTACATTTTTAGACTAAAATGTCACTGATGAGAAAAGGGCTGCTCATCGTGTGGAAACACAGAGTTCTGGGTTTAAGTTGCCTTTAGAGCTGCAAGTAAAAAGCTTTTCTTAACTCCTGCTTAACCGGTTGATTATTTATCTATGATTGATAGCCTATTTTTAAAAAAAATCATCACTGTTCATAGAGCTAAAGGGGACATCTGTGACTTCCTGCTCAGCAACAAACCTCAGACAGAAAAGCCAAAGTGTTGTGATGTGTTGCCCTCTAGCAGCACGTTTAAATAATGCTTTATTAAGCCCCGTGTTTTATCCATCCGAACTATTAGATAGCAAAGACCAACTACAACCAACCACCAGCTCTACGTACAGAAGGACAACATGTAAACTTCACACACACTCCAGGCCCTCTTACATTCATGTGTTCTCGCTGCTGTGAGAAACACAAAGACACCAAAAAAAACAAGCAGCGTCTCACCTCACAGATCGGTTGTCTGTCTCCGATAGCTTGGCTTGTATCAAACACAAACCTGAAAGAATTATTTTATTGCATATAAGTGACATTAAATTGCAAAAAAATAAAATCCCAAACTACAGCACATGATGAAGAAGACGCTGTTACCGGGGAAGACAAAGATGAAGCAGGCCGCCAAGCCTCCGATCAGCGAGATCACGCGACCGATGTCTGGGATGAAGAGGGCGAGGACGAGGGTGACGACAAACCACACCAGCGTCTGCAGGATCCTTCTCCTCTGCTCGCGGCGCACGCACACCTCCACCTGCTCGCCTTGGAAACGCAGCCAAAGTCCTTCTATGACGGCCCTGCAGGGACACGGAGTCACATGGTGGAGAAGAAACGCGACATAAACTGTGTTGTAAAATAAGGAAAGTGTCCTAACCGCACAGTAGGGACGCATTAATCCTCTGCTCATCTTTTAGATACAGACTCTGAAGACTATACTCGGGGTACAGCTGAAATCAAATCCAGTAACAATGCTTTGTTCCCTCCTAAATGTTGAGTCTGTATGTCTCCAACTGATTTTAACCATTTCATTTTTAAGTAACATGAGTGCTACGGCCCATAGTGTTCGTGCCGTTTTGGTCATGTGGACTTGTGATCATTGTGTGGGAAGATGGCCTGTGAAGGCCCAGCTGAAGCTCCAGAACCACACCTGCCAGACATCAGTCCTGATTGCCCTGGAGCTCCCGACCTACTCTCAGCCTTGTTCTTCCCACCTCTGATAACATCTGATTGGACCACCACCACTCCTCCTCCACCTCAGCAATCACCACACCTGGCTATAAAACCAACCTTTTAGTCGGGGCTGGCTGGGATTTAATATGAACAGTCTGCTCTGGTGCTGCTCGGTTTGTGGTAACTTCTGTTGGCAGCTGCGAACTCGATGTGGGAGCTTCGAGAGAGTCTTAGTGAAGACTGACTCCTGTTAGCAGCTAGCCAACTTCGTGAAGAAGTTACTCGTGTCTTGTGTTTTTCGTATTGTGTGTTTTGAAGCACTAGTTTGTTTTAGTTTCTTTTGTTATGTGTGGATGTTGCTATTAGATTTAAAGTTTGACTAAAGAGTTTAGTTTAGTTTGCTAGCTTCAACGCTCTGATAGCCTTCGTTTGGTTCTTTTGATTTTTAGCAACATCCACCCTCTTCTTTTGTATCGTCACAGTTCTGTTGATGTTCATTTACGTTACTGAGCAATAAATTGTTTTACCTGAACCACTTCCATCTGTTTTTTGTTACATCCAGCTGACCCTAGAGGCTGGATCGTAACAATGAGGCTGTAAAATTAATTAGTTTCTGAAGTGTGGGGAAGCTCACAGATGATTATTTTTGGATCTGGGCAAAAAACAGCGAGACAGTCTCTTGCAAACAGTATTAAATGTGGGTGGATCCTATTTGGCAAACACCTGATACATTTAATCAGGTCGGTATATCTGCTGGAAATGATTTAGTATCCAGACTTTGTGTATCTCGGTGCATCAAAGAAAAGCAAGCAAAAAATAAAATAAGATAGGCTGATAGATTGGACTATATTATCTTATCTTTAGGAACAAGATGCTGCTGTACAGAAATCCAGATATACTGTTTGTGCACAGTTTGTCCTCCAGAAAGTACTGACATCTTCATTCTTCAATGCTCCGTGACATAAAAAAGTCACAAGTGAATTTACAGAAGCCTTCCTTAAACCTGACATATCATTAATGCATTTATTTAAAATGTCAGTATCAGCGCTGGGGTTTTGCTTTCATGGTAAATGGTCTGCACTTAGGGAGCAACTTCAGTGTCTTGCTCGAGGACACTTCGACTGTGGAGGGACCGGGGATCGAATCGCCAACCTTGCGACTGGAGGACAACCCGCTCTACCACCTGAGCCACATCCGCCCCACAATTTAATTTTCACCGCGTCTCACCTGCCACAGAAGTGCAAAATGGGATAGGAGGTGATCACGCAGACGACAATGAAAGCTCTGGCGATGGCCACCGCGATGTCATCGGGAGGATACGACATCAACACGTCCTGACTGACGTTGGAGCCGAACGTCAGGTAGCCGCAGACGCCTGATCGAACACAAAGCAGTCAGTCAGTCACAAGTCACCTGACGAGAAACGCAGCTACACAACACACATCAGCATCGTGTAAACTGGTATATATCTGCAATGAGGTTTAGACCAACTTAATATATCTGATCATAAAGTGGACACATCTTTCTAAAGCCTGAAATAAATGTCGATTATCATGGTTGTATAACTGTACAATCACCTTTACATGCAACTCCTTAGATTGATTTAAAAGTCAGTTGTTCTAAGACTTTGTTGACAGATGCGTTACTGAACACACACTGCGGTAACACACACTGATAATACCTGTTCCCGTGTAAACAAAAAGGCAGATTATCATGCTGAGGGTGACGACCAGTCCCCAGGGTTTGATCTCTTTCCTGCTCATGCTGTTGAACACCGGCACACAGCTGACATGGCACTGCAGAGATAGAGAGGGACCAGGAGGAGGAAGATAAGACAGATATAATTCATCAACATTAAACTCAAATCATTTTTAAAGTTGCAAATAATACCAAATGAGAAGATACCTGGAAACCAAAGCATATGGTGGGCATTGCATTGAAAACTGCCGTCCAGGAAGCAGTGCTGTAACAAACACAATGATTTAGTGACGCGAGCGAAGCGAGGCGACGAAGCTGGTGGACGCTGCCGAACTAATCATAATAATAAGCTGTAAGAGCATTGAAGTGTGTGCGGGTGTTACCTGGTGGGAACATAGCTCGGAGTCACCTCCTTATCCGGCCAGATGTATTTTACAATGACCACGATGGTAACGTACCAGGTTCCCATGACACTCAGCGCACTGCAGGGAAAAAAAACACAAAATTATTATTGTGTAACGTAAAAGGGGAAAAAAAGGAAATTCTTACAGCTTAAGCAGACAGAGTCCTGTACCTGGCATACTTCTGAAAGCCAATTTCCTTGGGGATGGACAGAGGAAGAATAACGAGGACCCCGGTAACGACGATGGTAAATTTGCGGTCGGCGTACCAGTAGCCGCTGACTGTACCCTCGGTGTCGTGAGCCACTGCAGCGACCACTGCAACAGAAAGCAAAAAAAGCTCTGAGGAGGACTGAGAAGGAGGCAGTGAAACGTCCTGTATGGCACACAGGGCATTAACTGTAAACTGCTTTACACATGGCAGAGATTTACCAAAGTGCATAATGAAAGTCACAACCGCTGCATTCATTTCAAAGGTCTGAAAGGAGGGAGAAGGTCGCCATCAGGATTTCTAAACTGTCAGCATCTCGGTGCAGGGAAACGTAAGAGTGAGTCACATGAGAGACACATTTACTGAGTGAAAAAGCTGAGTGGTGTCTTTCCTGCTGCTGCTCTTTGCCCTCGTTAAAGATGGTACTGTCTTAAGATGCTGCTGTACTAAACATGTTTCCCAGTTGCAGACAGAGAAATGGCACTTTTAACTATTAAAGATGAAGGAAAACTAAGATCAAACGTCGTCCAATCATGCAATACAATGAGACAGAAGCAGTGTAGCTGGTGTGTGAATGCACTCACAGCGATCCAGCTGGTCTCCAATGACAATAAAGAACGCGATGCAGGTGCCAAAGGTGTAGACAGCGATGGCCACTTCACAGAGGATGCCGGAGACTTTTCCACAAGTGGCTCGAACGACCTCCTGATAAGTGCCTTCGTTACTGACCTGAATAAACCAGACAAGCAGTTTCAAAAGAGGGACATCGTACAAGCAGTAAAAGTGCTGAAATAGCAATTGTTCTATTTGAGAAACTCATTTGAGGCTGTTCAGTGTTACTTCAGGACAAAGTTCATCCGACAGCTGAACATAGTTTATTTATTGACTCATACTGAATCAACCTTAGTTTTCCTTGTCAGCCGTGTGTTAGCATGTAAGCATGTCTGAGCTACTCAGGAAGTGAAAGCCTTCTGATCAGGACTACAACCACAGAATAAAGAAGTTATTACACAAGAATGCTGCTCCAACACTTGTACCGCTAGTGAAAGAAAATACTAAAGAGTCAGAAGGCTGTAGGACATGGTAGAGATGTAGAACAGTGGGAGGTGGAAGACACTCAGGCAGTCGCAGTGTGATGATCTGAAGCAGCACGAACCTGGGAGCAGTAACCCAAAATCACCAGCCCGCTGATGATGAAGATCAGCATGAACTGAAAGACAAAGGGACAAGAGGCAGAGAGTTACAGGACAAGGTCTGTTAGAGGGTTTTTGTTGGTCACAAGATTGTTTTAAGCTCTAACATTAGATTAGATGTGCATTTTAAAGCAAAGTTCAGTCTTATAGTTTAATTTAGATCATTGAACAGTCATTTCAGTTAATAATGAAATAAAACAGTGTTCTTTTTCCTGCCTGCTTCTCTTAAGTTACTGGCTTCACTGGCCTCTGAAGTATTACTGTTTTATATCTATACTCTTCTCTTTACCCTCAACCCCAGTCAGTCGAGGCAGGTGCCCTCCTTCCCTGGGCCTGGTTCTGCTGGAGGTTTCAGTACAGGTGAGGTTTTTCTTTCTATAGCTGCTCAAAGGAAACTTATTTTGGAGGGGGGTTCTCAGTATGATTTAGCAAGGTCTTCACTTTACCCTGTGAAGTGTCTGGAAATGACATACGTTGTGTAGTGGCATCACGAAAATAAAATTTAACTGACTGGAATTACACCAGAAAATGTCTTGCTTCTCTCTGGTACATGGTAAATGGTAAATGGTCTGCACTTATATAACACTTTTCTACCTGAGTGGTACTCAAAGCGCTTTACAATGTGTTTCTCATTCACGCACATTCATACACCGAGATGCCATTCAAGGTGCTGCCTGCCATCGGGAGCAACTTCAGGTTCAGTGTCTTGCCCAAGGACACTTCGACTGTGGAGGGGATCGAACCGCCAACCTTACGATCAGAGGACTCTACCACCTGAGCCACAGCTGCCCGATTACATGTATTGAGTGTGGAAATTGTCAGTATAAATTGAAGCCATTCCTTTGGCCTCTGGTAATGTCTGATCAGCAGCCGTCATCACTGAACATTTAACACATTACATTGTGTATATGCAGCCCAGTTTAACCCATCACACCACATGTTTGTCGTCTTAAACACACGCCCCACACAGCAGCAGGAAAGGACCCGTACAAGAGGTGTCTGATGTAAGTGGCATCTTCTCACCATCTGAAGCATCACTCCTGCCGTTACTCCTCTCGCCATATTGAAGGCTGCAGGGAAGTTGAGCAGACCCGCTCCCAGCGCCGCGTTCACCACGATGAAGACGGCTCCCAACGACGACACGCCTCCGCTCCTCCCGCCGTCCGCCTCAGGATGCCGAACAGAATCCACGCTGGGGCTCTGCAGGAGCCACGCCCTCTCCCCAGAGTCATTGCTGCCAACGGCGCCCCAGTCCTCAACATCAGTGTTGATCGCCATGAGTCGACAGGCTGGAGCTCGGCCTGGGAAGCCTGACGCAGCCCAGAAAATTAGTCTGAGAGTTAAATTAAATTAGATGAGAAAGTCCGAGCGGAGAGACGAGACGGGGCTGGAGCTGAAGATCCTGAGGTTCCACAACAGTCAGGAGGCAGCCGGCGTTTCTTATCACGAGTGACAGCGTGACGACGGAGCCATTTGGGGATCGATCTGTAAGGAGATGTGGCTTGCATTTAGAATTACTTGCATTTCAGAACAACAACTGAACAGTATTGTATTATATTAACAAACTGAGTACATGAGGAACAAGAAGTAGCAGAAAAAGAAGTAACATAGCTCACAGTTTTAATGGCAATACACAGATTCTGTTCCCTGATTTCTGAAAATATACTCATTTATGACTCAGAAGAAAACCTGCACTACTGGCTCTCATAGAATTTGTGCATGTTAAAGGCTGCCAGTGGAGAGTGTCATCATCAGTGGTTCAGTTCCTGAATCGCTCCTGTTTCAAAAAAGGAAGTAAAAGTGCTCCAAAAGCAGTCGACTATAAAAGACAGAAACGTGAGTTGACAGTTGGATTAACATTACTGCTAACTGCATTATTCAAGAACAAGTGATGCTGCGTCTTCTTGTTCAAAAGACAGATGTTTTGCAAATTCCAAGCTCCCTCTTTATCAAGCACCAATATGTCCGTCTTCATGTCATCTCACAATTCTCTACTTTCAGGTATTGTTGAGTGATAATTTAGTTTGGATTATCTGTTGACTTTACATTTACTGCATATGCAAGAAATAAAGAAAACAAAGGACTCTCTCATCCTGCCTGCAAATATGACAACAAAAAAAAACTTGATTTGGTTTGAAATAAAACAAAGTCACTCAAAGCTGACCTTTCTAAAATGTCTACAGTTTTAATATATCATATTTTCAACTTTATTTGTTGCATGCATTGAATTCTATATTATATTGGTATGATAGATGTTTTTTCATGTTTTTTAACAAGAAGAAAAATTTCAAACAACACGATCAACGTTGAAGGTCTGCCGTGTAGACACTGTAAAGACAATAAGAGGTCTAATCATGATTTCAAAAGTTCTAAAAGTCCTGCAGCTTCAAAAATCACCAAATCCAACATTTCCTTGTCCTGATTGATTATTGGTTTTGGTGCACAGGAGGTTAAGCTTATTATAAAAGCACAGTTTGAGATAATGAGCTGACATTTTTCACTGCTCTTGTGTCATTCTGTTGACCACAAATCTCAGATAATAAATCACTGATCATCCTTCCCAATGCCAACAGAAGCTGCAGCAGATTAAGTAAAGCTGCCATTAATAAGGAGCTGATGGTGTCCAGCTGACCCCAGTTTTAATCAACAGCTCCTCATCACATCTTCAGCTGCCTACAAGAAAGTACCCAGCCCTTTACTGTGACTAGATTAGAGCTTTCCTTTTCTTTAACGTGACAATAACATTTGTCAACGCAGCTCTGCCCTTTGTTGTTGTCACCTACAATAGCTAGCTAGCAGGCGAGAAACCAAAACTGAAGCCGAACACAACGAAGCTCGTTTCCTCCAAACATACACAACTTTTAAATATCTCCGTAATATTTACATTCACTGTAATGTTGAGTTACGAAAAAAGGATAAAACGCAGATAACTGCTCACGTTACCTGGAGCCTCCGCCGCAGAGAATGACTCTGTCTGTGTACAGTCTATGGTAGAAAGCGGAGGAGCATGTGACACCTCGTCACGTGACCGGAATGCTGGGTGTTGCTTGGGATTGTGGGAGTTGTAGTTTTAGCGCATGAGGCTTGCTTAAATGACTAAATGGGCAACTTTGTCGTTAAATGAGAGGGGATTAATACTCCATTAATTTTATAGTTTTAAAATATGACAATATAAAGTCTAATGTGTTATTTTATAATATTAGTTAAATGTCTGATAAATCCAAACTCAACTCTACACGAAAACAACTTTATTTTCAGGGTGTACTTTTTGGGATTTAATGGCAACGTTATTTAGAAATGTACACTGCAAAAGAGTTTATACATGGCAATTAATTAGGAAAACAGACAGGCCTCAGTCTGTTTGTTAAATGTAAAGCATGAAAGATTTATTGCTTCCAATAAATATGATTTTACATCTCAATTTTTAAATATTTTTCTATATCAGAATCAGGCCTCTCAGTTTAACACTGCATATCACGCTGTTCATGTTATTCAATATTGTTTTGGGGAAAAGACCAAAGCCACTCTCTGGACTGAACAACTATTCCTCAATGTGTAACTACTACAAAGAAATGTTTTAGGACAGGTTCTGATTTCACACAGAAGCAATCCTAAAGCAAATGTTCAACTAAAATATACAGTTAATCATATGATAAAGAGTGTAATGTTAATCCCTAGAGAAAAAAAAAAGACAAACACAGCAGAACAGACCGTTACTCTATAATGATTTATTGTTTGTTCAATAAAGTACATGATCAACGATCCATATTTTATGACAGAATGCAAAACATGGAGGCGCAGTGTGAGATCTTTCAGAAGTATGAGCAGACTTCACATTCTGGATGCCATCTGTGTCTCACAGTCGTCACGATGAACAGATTCGTACACTGGAACATGGCGTCTGAGTGAATGAGCAGCATGTGCATATTTCTCCATGAACTGTTGTGTTCAACCCAAGCAGACACTCCACTCATGTTTATTGGGCGCACAGAGAGACAGTAGTATGGGTTGTAAGTACGAAGCCTCGCTATGAACATAAACTAACTTTGGGGGTTTGGGTGAAAAATAAAGTTTTATGGTGGAATCCATACAGTATATCTACCTTCCATCTGTACTGTGGTTTAACTCTTCAGGCTTGTGTGCTTGTTTTTTTTTTTTTTTTAGGGGTGTAAAGAAGGACCGACTGAGAACCTGCTGCCCTGTGACCACCTAAACTGAAACCAGAAAAAGATTCACAAATCCTACTGAAAAAGTACTGAATACATAGAAAGACTGATGTGCAAATTCCAAAGAGAGAAGATAATCAAGAGACTGAATTACTGGATGATGGATTAGGTCAGAGGAACCTTGGTAACTTGATTTCAATGCCTGTTCATACAGTAAAGCCCACCGACAGTCTTGTCAAGAAACTCAAACAGTGCTGTACAGCTTATAAAGTGCTACAACTTACCAGTAAAATTAAATAAAACACATTTTCTACAGGCTTTCACAGCGCAACAGATATCTCATCTTGTACGTAAAACTAACGCACAGTCCCCGATGGTTTTTGTATAGTGAGAGGGCCCACAGCAGATAAAGAGCACACATTTAGTAGGACGCTCATGCACAGCTAACAGTTGGTTCCACAAAATAAATAAGTAAAGATGAGACATCAGCTCAGCCAGTAGAGGGAAGAAATCGATCTTTTGCAATTTGGCAGGGGAGCCTGTTCGGTGAAATTCAAAACATAAAAGAAATGTGACCAGGAAACAAACTACCAACAACAGCAACCGTTCCAAGTTGAACTCGCGATGAAACCCAATCGAGACAAACTAAATATTGAGCTGTTCTAAAGGTGGAATGGAGGAGACCAAGAATAAGTGACGCATAAAGCTCCTCTTCAACACTGCTGCTTTGATTTTGTCGCTCTCCCAGCAGGACCCGGTCTACTTGGTGACTGCGTGGATCGCCTCTGCCAGGTAGCCCACGTTCCCGGACGACACTCCTGCCATGGAAATTCTGCCATCCTTGGTCATGTACACTGAAAACTCCTTTGTGATGCGCTCGACCTGCAGAGAAAGAAAAGTAGCAAACACAACTCAAACAACTCTAATAAGACAAAGGAACATGGCTGAGTTTTTTTTTTCTCTCAGTGTCTCAGATAACCCTTTTCCACCAAACCGGTTCCAGTGCTAGTTCCAGCTAGTGCCTGACTTAGCACCAGTTCTTTGTGTTTCCACCGCCGAAGCACCGGCTCCAGGCTCTCAAAACTGGCGCTTTTTAGGCACCAGCTCATTGCTGGGCCACAGAAAAGCCCAGAGTACGTCAGGGGCTGGGGGCGAGGCTATCGTGACCACCGAGACCAACGAATGGGACACACAAGCGGTGATTTGTGTCGTTTTTCACCAGGACGTCTCTGGTCCGATCACAGATGTATCGGAATGAGTCCAAGGACACACGGAAGTTCTGAACAAACTGTTGCACACTGAAAGCCAGTAGAATTGTATCCCACCAGCAGCACCACAGTGGTGGAAAACAGGAATTAATAACATCGGTGTACTGTGGTCTTCTCATGAAAAACGGAGTGCACTACATGCTGTTTAGTCCGCTCATAGAAAAGACCACGAGAAAAAAAAACACTCTGTTTCATCCTGGACAAATCTGACATCAGAACGTCCTGGTTTACTCTTTTTACAGTTATTTTTGGTCGCACACCGGTCTGAGCACCGCAACCACCAGCAGCAGCGAGCAAAGGCTGTTATGTGGGGCGTTCAGGGAACATCGTAAATTGTAGAGTCTATTGATGAGAAAATGTTCAGCCAGTCAAATGTTTTGTCTGTGACAAGGTGAGAAGTGCAACCAGTGTGACAGTTGGCTGCACCGGTAAAAATAAATAAATAAAAAAGTCTGGAGTCCTGTGTGGACTTCTGTGTTGCGCGAGCGTTGTTCGGTAAATGACGGCGTATTCAGTGACGTATGGTGGCTCTAACTCGGCTCCTTGCTGATGAAAAAGCAACCGGTTCTTTGGAGGTGCCAGATTGGAACCAACTAAGCACTGGAATTAGCACCAGCATGGAACTGGCACCTGGTTCTCTTGGTGGAAAACAGGTAAGCATGGAAAAGACACTTATTTACAGGTTCAAGAGATGTGGCACTCTGATGTACTAATTTAAAAAACTAATCTGATTCTAGCATGCAGCATTTTTATTTGCATAGTTAGCATATTAATAAATAAACAGGAACATGTACATTTACTCAAGACTTAAACCAATAATAGTTTTTCAAAGTAGATCAGATCAAAGCAAGATCTTTGATAAGTACCCCGTCACAGAATCCCCCCAAAAAAGTATATATGATCAAAAATCAAATCTTGATCTTTGGAAATGTACAGAACAAATGTGTGGATTCTTTTTCTTTTTTTAAAAAATTGATTTTCAATAAACAATTACGTTTCTATCTACAAATATCCCACATGCAGTGAACAAGGGGGAAGGCTGTTGGCTCTTTATTTACTGTTTCTTTGGATTTTTTTCTTTGCCCTCAGAAGAATGACTTGACATTTTGGGAAATACGGATATTGGCCTTCTGGCGAGAGTTAGATGAGAAAATCAATACCGCCCTCACACCCGTGCAGTAAATATGAAGCTACAGTCGGCTCCTGTTCAGCTGAAGAAAAGAGACAGAAGACAGGAGAGGAAGCGGCTACGGTGGCCTGTCAGAGGTAACAAGATGGACCAGGCAGCACCTCTAAAGCCCACAAAATAAGACATAATATCATTTAGGTTTAATCCGTGGAAAAACTGCAGCGGAAAAATGGCCGTAATTTGCCATTTCACGGTCCGGTCTATTTCTTGGTGCCGTGCAGTTGCCAGGCAACCAGCGGAGATTCCAGAAAGCTGCTGGTTCTGGTTTGTGGCTGCAGCCTTAAATTTAATGGACAAATATGAGAGTGGTATCGACCTTCGCGTTTAAGCCCGAAGACACCCGAGTGTATTTCCCAAACTGCTGCACGATACCTTTAATTTGTTTCATTATCTGTTGTTGTGTGAAATCACTTTTAAAAGTAAGTTTAGGTTTACAATTGAACTATTTATTGAGTTATTTTTTTCTTCCCTGCTGTCAGCTATCAACAGAGAGTGTCTGAGTACCTGTTCGGGCTTGAGGCCTGTAAAACAGAACATCCCGATCTGGTCGATGACGTGCTGCCAGTTGTGGGTGGAGCCGTTCTTCTTCAGACCAGCCTCCAGCTGTTCTCTCATCTTGATGATGCGGTTAGCCATACCATGGACCTCCTCCAGCCTGTGACAAATAAACACAGAATGATGTAGAAAAAAGTCTGAGAACGTATCTTGAACACTTTATGAAAAGATGGAGGCTTAAAGTGTCTTTACGAAACTCCAAGCTGCACATTCTATCCCGGTACAGTATCCATAGATATACATATAAATGCATCTAAAAGCTTGTACCACAGTGAGCGCAGATCTGGTGTGTTGAGGATAGTTGTAGCAATTCTGGCGCCGTTCATTGGTGGGTTGGAGTAAATGGGTCTGATGAGGATCTTAAGCTGGGACTCCACTCTCTTTGCCTCTTCTGCATCTCTGCACACGACGGTGAAGCCTCCCACACGCTCACCTGTCCACATCAACACGCACATTCAGTGATTTACAGTTAAGTCTGACCAGCTGATGTTTGTATAGTGACTGATTTAATCTCTTCTATGAACTCTGAGAGAAGGTCCTTGAGCTGATCATCGGTTTTATAGAGAAAAACAACCAAATCTAAGTTGCAGGACTTCATATAGCAGTGAACAGAGAACAAACAGTGAGTAAAAATGTGACAGGAGCAAAAACACTTGAGCTGCTTGGAGCTTAGAGGCTTAAAGGTTAAAACCAAAACTGAATCAAAGAACTATTTAATAGTGGGCTCATGACATCTGTACATTTAAATAGTACGATCATCATATTGTCAATTTGCAACCAGTTTTGCATCTCTTAAAACAGACTTAACTGGGTGAGTTTATACGACAGTCACAGAATCACTGTGTGTCGTTTGCTAAACGTAAAGAATTTAAGATTTATTGCTGCCTGTAAGTACGGCATCACTGCTCTGTTACTTTTTAAAAAATCTTTTATATCTGACTAAGATCTTAGTTTAATACCAGACATCACTGTGTTCACATTATAACACCTATTCCTTCACATTATTTTCCTCAAAGATGATTATTTCAGGACATTCTGATGTCACACAGAAGCAGCTGAAGAAATAAACTAATTGGTACAATTTGTTTCAACATTCTGAAAGCCTGAAAGCTTATTTGAATAAACCTCATTTGACTAACAAACTTTTACCACTGGGTGGTGGCAAAACACAAGCTGAAGCTCAAGCAGTCACTTGGTAGAGTTTTCATTCTCAGACTTGCATCCAGTCACTCCTCAAACATGGATTTCACCTGATTTTCTATCAGATGTTTTACTTCATTGTTGCACTGGAATCTGATTGCTGTTTTAATGATTACTTATTTGAGAAGAGCCTGCACTGACCATAGAGTCCCATGTTCTTAGCGAAGGACTGGGACAGCACGATGTTGTGGCCCTGCTCGATGAAGTAGCGCACGGCCCAGGCATCGCGGTCGATGTCTCCACTGGCGAAGCCCTGATAGGCCATATCGAAGAAAACCAGCAGGTTGCGTTTCTATGAGGTGAGAAAGGAAGGAAGAAAAAAAGACAAGAGACAAGAAAGACGCAGACAAAGCAAGATAAAGAAGTTATTGTGATAACAACTAGTTACTATGCAGCGCTTATCAAATGCGGCTTTTGACCTGTCAAAGACCATCTGAGATAAATGAACACATCTTTATCAAAATGATGCTAACAAGGTCATAAAAACTAATGATGCTTTCTTACCTTGACAACTTCAGCAATCTCCTTCCACTGCTCGGGCCTGGGGTCCACACCGGTGGGGTTGTGGGCGCACGCATGCAACAGGATCACACTCTGCTCTGGGATTTTCTGTTACATTAAAAAAACATTTTTAAAAAGAGCTGTTTTTGAACAGAAGTGGGCTCTGTGAGTATATGTATTTTAGGGGCTCTGATCCACTTAAAACCAAAAATATTTGGGGGAATACACAAAAATGTAGTAATAAAGGGTAATCACATTATTATAATATATCTAAAATGCATTTGTAACTGTGAACATTTAATATTGAATATGTGAGTATGGGTAAAAAAACACACACAGGGGGGAAAACAGACATATCCAGGAGATTACTAAAGAATTTTGAAACCTAAGATTAACTCACTAAGACCTGAAAAAGACAGGAATGCATTGTGCTTGACTAACTAATGCCTCAGTAGGGTTAGCGTTTTAGCATTTCACCCAACCTGAAATCTGCACTGAAGTCACTGAATTGATCCAAATTGAACTTATGAGCGTTAACTGCTCAACTAAAACTCAATAGTCTAATCAACATTGATGAACTGTATCAATAACATGAAAATGAGGTGAGACGGAGCTCATTCCATCCTCAGAGAAATGCCTGCATGTGGATTCAGTCCAGACTGAGCAGCCTTCTGACTCTGACCAGAGTTGGACTTTGAGCATTTCATCCAACATGAAACTAGTTTTGAATTCATTTAATTGATCCTCTGATCTCTGGCTCTCATTCATGTCTTACAGAAATGTCATCAAGAGCTCCTTTGAAGTCAAAGCCACAGGTGGAGGGGTCGTAGTATCTGTAAGCTTTGAGCTGCATGCCAGCGTCTCTGAAGATGGGTGTGTGGTTTCCCCAGGAGGGTTTGGGCAGGTAGACATCACGAGGTCCTCCGTGGAATCGAGACTGTGACAGAGAAAACCAGGTGAGATCGGCAGAATAGCCTAAAAATTGCTTCTTTTTTTCTTTTTAAACACTTTTTTTTGTGCTAAGTTGCTAACACAAGAAAACCTCACCAAAAAGTTGGCTCCAATGCGCAGAGATCCAGTTCCTGAGATGGTCTGGACGGTGATGTTCTGTTGGGAGAAAAGTAATGCTGCACTGATTTGGACTTAAAGACTGCCGGAACTTAATTTAGGTTGGATTAGCAGACACCCCAACTTACCCTGCCACTCTTCAGGACCTCATTATCGTTACCAAGAGCCAGCTGGGCGCAGGCCTTGGTGAAGTCCCCCAGACCACCGATGGGAAGGTACTCCTTATCCAGCTGTTTGGCTGCAATCAAAGCCTCTGCCTACAGAACAGGTGTAGAAATCGAAAAGTATAAAACACTGTAACTATACTTTACTTGACTGGTACGTTATACATCAAATGTCTGTAACTGAGCTAACATTTGGTTAGAATCAAAACAACCAGACAGACACTATGCCATGATGATAATGCAGAAATTCTCCTAAATATTAACACGGGCTTCACTCTGTATAAACCCTGAATGCTGATGTTCCTGCTACAGAAGCAGAGCTCATGATGACAAAGCAGGAAGGCAGCAATGAGGAAGAGCGTGACCAGCAGCAACCTTTCAACCCTTCTAAAAACTATCAAACTCCGTGAGTGACACCTCGATTTTGTAAAGACTTGCTTGTTCCCTCTGAGTTCACCAAAAGTCTGACTTGAGGAAGCGGCGACATCAGAGGATTCACAACAACAGCTTTACCTTGCGGACACAGCTGAGGACGAAGGGCTTTCCCTGGTCATCCCTGTAGGCTCCTACTCCCAGGTTCATCTTCTTGGGGTTGGTGTCCCTCTTGAAGGCCTCGGTCACCCCCAGGATGGGATCGGGGGGACCCATCTGTACTCCACCCCACCATGAGCTGCAAAGGCCAAAACAGAACAGTGAAGAAGATGATGATGATGAGACTGCAAACAGTTCATTTGTGTGCACTGACCTTAAAAATGCTACTTTGCAAGCTTTACAAGGTTCTAAAAAAGTGCTGCTTCTTTGTGGCCTTGTGTAACACTGCCCACTGCTGTGACGTCTGTATTAGCCGTGTTGCTGTAACATGTTCAGGACCTAATAGTTGAGCTTAACTCCTCATGTGACCTGAGGAGACCACACTGACGCCGAGACACTTTAACCACACACGCACAAGTTTTATGAAGCAAACATTATAATCCATTCGAAAGGTCCAGAGTCCAGAAACAAGCGCAACAGTAAAAGTGGGTCTATAATCTGAGCAGTCTCTAAATTCACTCCCATGTTTACTCAGTCACTGCTACCTCCATAGTAAACACTCAGCAGGTCACTGCAGAATGTGAAGGATTTAAATATTCCAGAAAATGTGATGACCAAGCATGCCAGTTGTATTTACTACTGTTTCCTTTTTGTGTGCTTCTAGCAGTATTTGCAAACTATTTTTTTCAATTTTCCTTCACTTGGCCTGTGGCTCACTATTTCTTTTATTTTTAGCTTATTAATGCAGTGCTCTGCTTGAAAATACTCCTCAGCTCACCTAAACTAATACTTCTTGTCTTTTACACAGCGCTCTCTGAGTCAGTAGGTAGGCCACAATTAAAGGCAGCGATAGAAGTCCACAATAAACGTAAAAAAGGTCACGCAGTCTGATCACTTGACCTCAGCCTGAAACTGTCTGTAGTTCATCATGCACATGACAGTGATCCACTTTAGCCTTAAACCTTAATAAGATTTAAGCCTAACTAACCACATTAGACTTCCTAGGCACTAACACTGACCACTCTGTTTTCAGCTGGGTGACTGATTTTAAAATACTTTTCTTTCCAAACACACTGGTGTCTGTGTTACTGCCATCTTTAAAAACTGAACATAATCACAGGTGCTCATCACTGGATACTAACAAAACCTTAATGTAAGTGTAAAGAGAAAAGAACCAATCAAATCAATCCATTACTGTCTAGTTTGCAGTTGTATATTTAGCCACTATATAAAAATGGACTGTTGCATAACAACAATCTTGCCAATGAAACCTTGTGCACATTAGATGACAAAAAATGGACACGTTCTGTCAAACATCTGCTTGATAAATGAAGCTGGTTGGATGTTGCGACTTCCACTACACTCCTGCCCTCACAGACATGTCATTGTCTCAGGTTTCTTCTACTTTGTAAACCCTCTAAACTTTGCAGCTAAATTTAGGACAGAGCACTTCGCAAAGGGCAAGAGTCTCCCATCCCCTAATATTAAAACACAGATGTGATTGGTGCACTGTGACTTCATGCACTGACAAACATACTTTTTTGTATGACAACCAAGTAGTGTGAACTGGTTAGACAAGAAAAGAGGAGAAGGGCATGTGCTAGGTTAAGCCTTGTAATGCACTTTTAATAAGACGCTTCACAATGTAAGACAGAAAAGAAAAATGTAACAGTTGTGGATAAAAAAAACACCTTAGAGAGGCGTATATTGTTGAGACTGTGTCAGATTATTATTTCTGATGTATTTCTGTTACGGTTGTTGCTGATATTGTCGCTCCCTGTGAGAGGTTCTGTCACATACATGTAAAAATGTTCTAAAGCTGTGTTGCTTAAGATTAGATAAGATTACCATACAATCACTGTATAGAGAGTACAGGGAAATATAGTCAATCTATGTATGAGAACATCGCTTTGCATGTTTCGGTTATTGACTGTCTGTAATCATTGTGTGCAATCAAAGGTGCAATTATTTAGTGTGAAATAATTGCATTTAACACAATGTATTATTGCACAATTCAGAAGAGCAGCAGCAAACTGCACCCTATAGAGGCATTGGGCCTCAAGTGGTCTCATTCAGTCTGCAGTGAGCATGCACACAGAACCTTGACCAGCTGAACTTCAGGGTTTATATAAACATCAGTGTCTGCCCAGTTATCAGTGATCAATAGACCAAAGGCCTGTTAGGTTAGGTACACGGCGGGATGGTTCCTCCCAACTAGCAGCTTCTCATGCCAGCATCTAGCATTAAATAGTAACGTCTGGATGCAGGTGTTGCTGCCGCTGTGTGAACACGAGACGACACGAAGCAGACACAGTGAAACACACCCACGCAGACAGAAACAGGAGATCAGCAGCGAGCTAAATGAAACCCAGACTTATATCAGCGGCGCTGGAACGACGGGATGAACAGAGGTACGGTCCTAATGATGAAACTATCTACATTTATAAAACCTTCACACTCAACATGTTAATGAGCTAAAACCACAACAAAAGATCTAAGCGAGTTTGTCCTCCAAACACGCCATGAAAGGACACGCCGCTTTCTAGCTCAGTTTCAGCGCTAGAAATGAGCCAATCACCGACCAAAGGCGGAACACGACAGCCAATCAGCTCGCACGACTTCACCGACTACGACAAGTCGCTTGGCTCAAACTGTACGTGCGGTTTGACAACTAAAGCTATCGCGATCGTTTAAATAGTCAATAAAGTTGTTTGAAGAACAAAAGCAAAATTGTTTCAATTCAACAAACTAGCCTAACGTACTTATAATAAAGAAGTTAGTTGTGATGTATAAAACTAGCTGAGCTGTTATTGACGTCCACAGCAGGTGTCTGCTGCACGGGAGCGTGTGCTACTGACACACTAACGTGACTTTCATCAGCAACACGCCTCGTTAATGGAAACACAAAGTTACCCTGTAAACGGTCAGTTTAGTGACTATCAGAGATGATGCCTTGACCACCAGACCCTGACCTGTCAGATTAATGAGTCATAAAACAGCAGAGCTACATATAAAGACTAACTAGCTGCGCTCTGGTCGCGGTAGCTAACCTCAGCCGACAGCTCAGCAGGGCCTGTGGAAACCATTTGACCCCTGTTAGCCAACTAGCTAGTAGAGCTACAACACCGATCAACGAAGCCTCAGAGTAAAACCTGACCCTGGCGGAACCTTTAACCTTCAAACACCAGGTTATCTGCTGGTCTAACTAGCGGTGGAAGCTCTCCGTTAACTCGTAAAGATAGCTGCAGCTTTAGCTGTTTAAATGTCTCTGTCTGCGCTAGTGCTGCGCGAGTTGGGACTGTTTACCTGTTGCGGGTGGACAGAACTCCCAGTGACGGGGAGATGTTGCCCAGACAGTAGATCACCTTGTTGGATTTGAGCAGGGCCATCGTTGCTGCGCTTGGGAGTCGAGCCTAGAAGGATGTGGACGGATGTGAAGGACAGACGCGGCCACGACGCTACGCTCGAAAACACGCGCTGACGTCAGAGGACGCTGTACGTAACGACGCAGAGGACGCACGAACAGGCGATTATATTCTAGTAATCCCTAAAACTGGTGGGGCATAGAGAGGACAGCACAGGAGGGAGAGGAAAGTCACACACACACACACACATATAAATCCACACAACTCACATAAAATCTTCTTATTTTAAATTATATCACTTCTTCAGGATTAAAACTGACTAAAACAGTGGAGCTTCATGTGTCAAGTCACTGAGTTCAGTCAGCAAGCCACATCAATAATCCATCACAGAGGACTTTCGTAACAAGGAAAGACCCTCAGACCCTATCACATGTGTCCAAAGCAAATAAAAATCAGGGAAATTAATAGTAAAAATCCCAGCAGAGACTATGTGTCTCTGTCATAAAAATTCAGTGTTATATGTTATGATTAAATGCTCTTTGTCCAACTTTCGAAATACAGATGGCCATGAAAGATAGCGTGCACAGAACTTGCAAAAGTAACCAAGCCTGTGCTCAGCAGATGGGAGCAGAGGAGATATGTGTTGTATGCCTGTATAAATGCTACAACGTTTCTTGACTCGGAGGTCACTTGTTCAGAATCTGTACTGTGCATGTGATTCCTTGCTGCAAATAAAACTTTGCTTTGGCTTAAGAAACGACTCTGTGTATTGATTTGGAGCAGTTAGGACTCCACATTTAATAGCAAGAAATATACAGTAAACATGCATAAGTAAGCATATGATATTGGTAAATAAGATTGAAAAATATTGAGTTATTTCTGTATGTATTTAGCACATTTGGTGACCTACGCAGTTTATATTTTAATATTCAGTGCAGACACTGTACGTTCTGCTCTCAGAGGCCTTCAGCACTGCTTTGCTCAGTTCTAAGTTTCACTCAATGAACATTAACTACTTCTCAATGCAGATAACACCAGTCTTTGTTCAAGCAATAAATATTACATGTGATCATTTGATCATCTCTGCTGTGAATGGTACAAATATGGAAATATTGATTGGATAACAGAGTACGAATGTTTAGGAATTAAAATCAATGAGTAACTGTCTTCCTTTTACAGCTATAAATCACGCTTTGCTCTACATTGTAGAAAGTTGGTTATTGAGGCAATTTTTCTATCAGTGTTGGATTATGAGGACATTTTATACATGTATGCATCAGTGGGGACTCTTAAACCCCTGGACACTATCTATCATTCTGCATTAGGATTCATGAGTGGTGATGATTATAATACTCAACACTGTGTTATTTATAAGACCCTTATTGTTTTTTGTGTTTGTTTTACCCTCTTGCATTACCTCATTACTGTCTCTTATGTAGGCTGCTACCATACACACTCAAATGATTGGCTATTTTTACTGAGCTTGGAAAAACATTTTTATTCACTGCAAAAACCTGCAGAACAATCTAAAGCTTGACTCATTTATATCCGTAGGTAAAGTCAGGCTTACATTTGATCTTCTTTTACTTCAGACTTCTCTTGTTTCAGTTGACTAACTTGTGTTTAAAATTAAAATAGCATTATATTGTTATCCAAGTTTCTCACTTGTGTGCTGACATCTTTTGTTTTTTCTTAGCTACTTTGTCAATGTGGTCTCTATACCTCAATGCACTCCAAGTTTAAATAAAGGTTAAATGAGTGAATACATATGGTAATAGTGGTAATAATATGCCACCCTTCAGTAGGATAATTCTGCAGTTGCTTAATATTCCACTGGAGGGTAGTATCACACAATGCACATGGTATCATCGTTTGAATTACAGCTCATTCATAGCTGGTCGATGCATGTTTAAGCTTCTATAAGAGTTCTATCAAATTTAGATGAGATCCACCTGCATAAAGATCAGATTTTACTGTCTGAGTATCTGTGGTCTGACAGTCGCGTGCATAATTGTGTCTGACCCACTGCAGAGACATTGTGCTATTTATGCCTGAAGTACAATTACAAACTACCGTCACAGATTTGCTCTTTTGCCCCAGCAGGCACATGTTCAGCTGCCCACCAGATGGAGACCTTCTCCACCTTTTCACTCCTCACTGGAACTTATTGTTTCTTGTGCTGCTGTGGAAATTTGATTGAGGAAATTACATGTATAATGAGAATTTGTATTCGAATCATAATGAAATTCCAACCTTTAAATAACACATCAACATTCTGTCTGCCACTGAAATTCCTGATCACTCTTTTAAAAATCTCCAGGGATGTTGAACTTTCTCATGTTTTCTCTCACAGTGTGTATAAATGAGCCTCGGCTTGATGTTAAGGAGCTTCTGCAGAGAGTGCAGCGTTACGTGAAGGCGTCTGGCAGGTTTTTCTTTTTCTTTCAGAGTCGCTCAAGTTTGCAAACAACAAAAAAAAGCCACCTCGCTGTCAGTCTGTGTGGAAGGAGCGACGATCTGGATGAACATCATACAGCAGAGCCTGGAAGTCCATGAAACACTTTCCTGCAACTTGACGGACAACAGCAGCTTCCACTGGCACAGCAACAGAGTGACAGAACGGGGCATGTTCTTGGCTTACGCGTTGGACTGCCAGTGTGCAGAGGAGATATGGGTATTTCCAACAAACCCATGATGTCACAGAGAGGAACAAATATGAGGTAGAACACAAAGCAGCTTTCACAGTTTCCATTGTAGCATGCAGGGGTCTGAACTTTTTTTTCCTGATTAGAATAAATTGCAGCTGAAGGTTTATTATTTCACTATATGCATGTCCAAGCATAAGCTGGAGTTAATATAAATGTGATCCAAATCTTGAAGTATTTCTCCAGCACGAGTTAATCCTAACGGCAGAGCAGAGCTAAAAATCATTCTACGTTTGTCCTAAAACCACTTGGCTGAAAAGGAAAATGATGACAGTTTAATATCTTGAGATGAAGAGGAGGAAGAGGAAGCTGAGGAAACAGTGGAGCAAAACAGAGCAGCGCCGAAAGAGGCATTAAAATGAAAGAGCAGCAGAAAAAGAAGAAAGGAAAAAACTGATAACAGAGACGTGTTACTGACCGTAACGCTGAGTGATGTTTCGCAGCTCGGCTTAGATTTGAGGCGTCTTTCAAAACCCCGTTGTGCAGCATATTGTACATGCACGAGAATATGAACACTGTTGTTGTTGCTTTGACTTGTAAACTGCTCATTTGGCGTTTTATTTCTCTTAAATAATGTTCAGGCAGACACATGTCACTCCTCTGCACACTCTGTGAGGTTAATGGTCAGTAGGTGGTGTGACATCAGACTGCTGTGATGATGAAATGATGTAAAACAAACCATTAGACAGAACATTTTATATCATTTATCACCTCTAGTGATGATACTCGCCTCCATGTGGGCAAACAGATTCCAGTCTGTGTCCTATTTGCTGTCAGTCACTATGATTCATGACGTCTTGGATTCAGTGCTCGCTTTAATTTCAGGGATTTGATTTCTCTATTTGTGTTTATTTATTTATTGGGTTTTGAGTTTAACAAGATTTATTGAAAAACTGATATGAAGAGAGAGAGAGACAAAAACTGAACTCTAACAAGAGATCCGTTGCATATTTCTTGTTTTCTGTCACCTCAACAAGCAACAGAATAAAATAGCATATATAACTGTCAAAAACAAAAAGCACGATCACAGAAAAAGAAAAAGAAAAAACGTCTTCAGTCGTATCTGTAAGGCCGGGAATTCCTTAAACCTCCTTCAATGCAGCCTTACATACCTGCTGTTCAGTGTTTGATGTCTGTGTGCTTCACTTTCTGAATTAACAGGAATTACTAACACACAACAAAGTCACTGAGAAAATGAGGCAAAGCTTATTTTATTGTGTTTCCTTTTTTACAGTGAGAGGGTATGGTTATGAAGTACTTTGACCTTTTATTTAGGTAGGTACCAACGCAATTCAAAAATGTAAAAAACAAAAAAGCAAAAATACTCATTTATAAGTTCCACATTTAAAAAAATTCTACTAAAGTGAAATTCACGAGCGTAAATGGCAAAATATAATCAAAATAATAAAGTAAAAGCACTCTTCTGGTTCACTGGACATGTATATTATTAAATAATTAAATAGGGCATCATTAGATTGTTAATAATGAATCTTCAGTGTGCCAGCAGCACGTTCCTGTTGTAGCTGCTTTCTACTGTTTTCTGTCCAGTTTTATTTACACGACCACCAGAAACATTTCAGAAGTTGTCAGATGAATAATAGGAAAAGAAAGTAGAAAAATCCCTGATGCAGAAATCTGTTTATTGTTTATTTCTCTCATCTTTGATCTAATCTTTGGTGAGATATTGAATCATTTCAGCATTTATTAAAATGAAACCATGCGAGAGGATTAGGGATTAAAATCACTTCTCGGTGGAGCTGTTGAGAACTTGTAGACATTTAAAGTATGACTCTGACTAGACATTACTTTTTATAAGAAGGAGAAAAAAAAAGGTTGAACAACCTCATGTTTATCATGTTGTATTTTAACATCATTCATCCATTATGTAAAATGTTCTTCACATAAACAATTTAAGCACACTAATAAATATAGTGGAGTAGAAGTACTCAAGTAATATACATGTACCTGAAAACTGTATTAAAGTACTGTACTTGAGTAATTGTGCTTAGTTACTTTACATTGCTTGAAACCAGGGATACTTGAGACTGATATCCATCCATTATCTATACACCACCAGGGTCACGGGGGGCAGGAGTCTATCCCAGCTGACTCAGGGTGAAGGCAGGTTCACCTGGACAGGTAACCAATCTATCACAGGGCTACACTTAGAGACAGACAACCAAGCACACTCACATTCACACCTACGGACAATTTAGAATCACCAATTAACCTCAACATGTTTCTGGACTGTGGGAGGAAGCTGGAGAACCCGGAGAGAACCCACGCTGCACGGGGAGAACATGGAGACTCCACACAGAAAGATTCTGGGTGTCCCCAACGGGATGTGAACCGGCGAGGCAACGGTGCTAACCACCGATCACCTTGCAGCCCCTTGAGAGCGATATGAACGTCAATATTGTGATTTAAGGCCCTACACAGCCACACAAGCAGTTTTATTTTTGGTACATTAGAGATCCTCTCCAGAGTGCTTGCAGCAGATATTTGGACATGATGTTACTAAAACATTAACAAAAGCTCTGTTCTAGTAAACCATGGAGGCGTCAGTCAGTACTCACGGTACCAGGACCATGAAGCTGAAGACGCTCCCATGAAGGAATTCAGCCATCAGTCATTCGATCGTTTGAAGAGTTCATTTGCAAAAACAGATAACTCCATGTTCGTAGATTTTCAGAAAACTTATTTTGTTGCTGTTTGCTTGAGATAATATCAGTCGGACTGAAGTTGAATGGATCTGACTCAGTAGAAATGACAAAAATAGTTTGATATTGTCTCAGGTAGACGATGGAAATGTGTGTTTTCTGAAGGTTTGTGAAGATGGAGTTATCTGTTTTTGCAAATGAACTCTTCAGTTATATCTGTGCATTTCCTACTCTGACATGTTTAAATGATGTTTGCATGATCTTAGATAAAGATGGTCTATTGGCTGGAAATATGAAACCTTTCCCACTCTTATTAGTACAAAGACTCACTTGCTAAGCTCATGTAATTCCCAGATTTCCCTCAGTCAACCTAAATCCTAGCAGAATAAATGAAACACTGATGAGGGTGTACAGGGTCTTTTACAACATTTCTTTGAATTTTAATATAAAAATTAGCATCACCGTGGAACCTATAGGGCCTCAAGCTGCAGAGAAATTATCCGAATAAATGTTTGCTTAGAGCACAGTAATATCATGACCCCACAGGTTTAGATTTACAACTGAAAACTGGGAACTCAACGTAAAAACTGGATTCTTGTTTCATGTCAGTGTACATTTGATGCTGCTTGTGTGATTTAAAATGCTCAAGAATAAGACAGTAAAGTTCATGAATATTAGCACAGATTTTCTGGGGCAGCGTGACATGTCCAGAAAAAAATAAAAAACACACTGCAGCGATGAGGAAGAAATCTCTACTGTGAACATTTGCGATGTGTGTGGATCCACACTTGCATGAAATAAGTTAGCAATGAAACACAGAGTATGACATGTTGAACGCTGAAGGTTTAACAGAAAACGACTGATTTACAGGAACACGTTTCATTTGCCTGATCTATCGCACACAAACAAACACGCTCCAGCGAGCAGCCCAGAAAACCTCCCAGTGTTCAGCTCACAACCGCTGTATCAAGAAGAAATGAAACCACTGTCATCCTGGTGTGTGTGTGTGTGCAGCTGTGCAGAGGGTAAATAACAGAGGGAATCTCATCTGCTTGTCTCATTCCTCTCACTGAGTGGGACTGATGTGTGTGAAGGAATCAGGGCGGATATAACTCTATTTTTCCTTGTTGTCAGCAGTTAACAGCTTGGTCTGCAGCTCAGTGTTTCACATGTGCCCCTCTGTACTTCTGTGGGTGTTTGCATGTGTGTGTGTGTGTGTGTGTGTGTGTGTGTGTGTGTGAGTGTGTGTGTGTGTTGGCGTGCCCGCTGAACATTCGCCGTATTGTTTCTGCGTACGAGCGAGCGTGTGTCGCAGCGATGGTGTGTGCGGAGGGGTGTGCTTTAAAGATAGTGAGTTTAATTAAAGATGAAAGGGCTGATGATTAATTGATGGAAGGTAGAATGTTCCATAAAGCTGAAATATGGCGGGGGGGGGTGTTGACTTTTCTACTGTAGAAAGAAATTCCTGAGTAAACTAGGACAGCATCTCAAGAGGGACGTTATGTAATTTTAGTTATTGGTGAAAGTCTAAAAATCTTGTCATTTGGATGTGAATGACGAGAACATCTTAATTAGTTCTGTACTAGAGAAAACAGATGTGGAGGTTCAGACGCACACATCTGGATGACAAAAACACATTTAAATGATTTAACAGTGCAAATCTTTGCATGTCTTCGCTCGTGCTGTGCTGCAGAAGGTTTTTATAGACGTGGGTAAGAGTGAGCAGATCACCCCCGCTGGATTCTCACTGCTCATCTCCCAGCGTGTCTTGCTTTGCCCCCTTCTTCTCAAAGAGTCCTACGAGTGCCTCTGAGCCTCTTCTCTATAAAAAATGGAGCAGCACAAGCTCTTTTGACATCACACTTTCTGCTACCAGGAGATTAGAAAGTGAAGGTGGAGCACTCCGGAGAAAACACTCTTGGTCTGTGCATCTGGACTGGAAGATTTAATCTCGACACGACACTCGGAGTCAGAGGGGTTGCCGGGGGATTATTTTGTCTCACCTGCCACTGAGAGAAAAAAACAAACCTTTTCACCTCAGCAGCAGTGACACAGTTGATATGATCCCCTGATAGCTGGGGTGTAACAAAACATTGTTTGGAGGGGAGTTTTTTTTTGTGTGGAATTAAATCCGCGAGAGGAGTTGTCATGTCATATTTATTCATTCTCTCAGTAATATATTCAATAGAACAGTACAAGCCTCGACAAATAAAACAAGCTCATAATAAACCAAACATAAATAAATAAACAAAATGCTACAGAACAACAGAAGTATTCATTTCAAATCCAGTGGGAGCAGAACATATATATATATATTTATTTATAGATATGAGATTAGTTTAAAAATACAAATGCATATTAAAAACGGGAAGTCAAATAAATAAATGCACAATATTTTCCTTTAATCATTGCTATGGCTATCTCACTATGGAACTGCATGTTTAAAAAAAGAAAAAAAAGACAACTCAGAGGAGGTTCAAAGCTAAAACAGCAGGGCCAGCAGTACACTGTGCTTTAGGAGCACTTTAGTCTTCATTCTAAGTGGTGTAGAGGTTTCAGGGTCACACATGCACCAGGTTTACATCAGGAGGTAGGAAGGACAGGAGGCAGCAGGGGAGGGTGGCGGGGTCCCAGGCAGGGAGGTCACAGCGTGGAGTCCCGGCAGAGGACGATCTCCAGCTCGGCGCGGTACAGTTTCCCTCCGTCAGACAGAGCCATGATGCTCTTCTTGTAATCCACCAGGCCTGTCGAGTCCACGTCCTGCCACAAACAGCAGAGGCAGTCAGCGAGCACAAAGCGGTCCACGGACATCAAACTATACGTTACAGAGGGCTGCTACCCCATCTCAGGTCTATATTTGGCAAGCAAGAAAAGTAATCTGAACCAATCAATCGATAGGCAAACTATTCATTACCATTTTGTTCTTGTCGCAGAGGTCCTTCAGCAAAGCATCCAGCTCCTGCTCATCGATATAACCGTTACCATCCTGGTGAAGGAGACAAGACGAGAGCGTCGAGTCAAAAAAGATTCTCCCAGCAGTACTTAGACGTGACGTTTTGCTAAGTAGCTCTAAACACAAAGTACTCTGGACTAAAAATGTGACCTGGTGATGACACTACAGGAAAAGCCAGATACTCACTAAAGGGGGATTCCGTCTCTTTTCTGCTCAACCATCTTTGACTTGCCTTAAATTGTTATGGTATAAAACATGGATGTTACTAAAGATATTGAAGTTTTAGATTGATATATCACCAAGAAAATGATTTGACCCATGTCCAGCATGTTGTTTGTGATTATCTGCCTCAATTAAAAATGTGTTTTATTTAGTTATATTTTAACCAATTTGAAATTTGAGACTAACTGGATTCGACTACAGACCAATTTGTCCTACCTGCTCAATCAGTTATTACAGTTAAAGTAAATAACTTTCTTATCAACTCTGCAATGAAGTATTTCATATTAAAAAGTATTTCAGATGTTCTGTTGTGTGTTGTGGTGACATGGAGCAACATAAGGTTCAGACAACATCACTGGATGACTTCTACATGAGCAACTAACTGAAAAATTCAGGCTTTTATCTTCAATTGTTCCTGAGATACTGTCATCCAAGCATAGCTTCAAATTTAAATGTGCAGAAAAAAAAAAAAAGTGCTCAAAGTGGATTGAAAGGAAATGTGTTTTTAAAAAATGATCTCGGAAAGTACTTTATATATCCATCTAAAATTTCTCAGATACTAGTGATGCACGATATTAGAATTTCTGGCCGATACTGATATCTGATGTTAAGATTTCTGATATCACCGATAACCGATATTACCGATGTCGATATTCAATTTTTGTTCACATTGAAAAATGAGGATAAGTATGCACTGTGAGAACATGAAAACTCGCCCAAATTAAACCACATAGTCTTCTTTATGACGTAACAAAAGTAAAACATATTTAAACATATGTTAACAGATTTAAGTCCAGGACCATTTAAGTAAAAACATCTGTGAAATAGCAGCAATATCAAATGTAGAGACGAAGGCGCTAATGTTAGACAATCACATCGGCTAAATTTGTTCATCGGACCGATACCGATATATCGTGCTATCAGATCCCATTTAAAATATCTATAGTTTGTTCTGAACAAAGCAAATGAGAGATGGTCGAGCAAAAGGTCCCTGAAGATTTGAGTAATTCTGGGAACATGAACGTTTGCACTATATTTCATTCACACGATAGTTCTTGAGACATCACTCGGGCCTCGTGGCAGCGCTTGAGGAGCCTTCAGAGGGATCAACAAAGTCATTGATCCTCAAAGAATCATCAACATAAATAAACATAAATACACCCATTAGCTATTCTGCTTCGTTCTGAACCAACGACCAACATTGTCGTCCCTGATGCTGCGATGCCACCAGCGTGGCTACAAACGCTTGTGAGGAAAAGTGGCTTTAATTGGAAATCAATTTAAAGTCATAAGTGCAAAGCTTAAATGGCAGTGTGTAATCAGTCATGTGCCAATCAAATTCAGAGTTGTGTAAATGTGACTGACGTTGCCATGCCTACAGCCGTGCTGTCAGGGCGCCGATGTCAGTCTGCGAAGCGTCACTTTGCTCCCAACTGATCTCGACATCTACTGCATGGATTGCCATGACGTTCACCCCTGAGGATGAATCACTTGATCCTCTGAGTTCTCCCCGACCGCCATCATGAGGTTGACATTTGTAGCTGAGAGTGACATATCAGCGACGACTGAGAGGATCACCGTGACATTCACAGCAGATAGTCAAGGTCAGTTTAGGCACAGCTTCACTGGGCCGCTAACGGTTTAGGTACCACACACACAACACAAGCAGAGAAACCTGCTCTTGTCACCTTATCATAGAGGACGAAGAGGGAGTTGAATTCTTTCACGGTGAGTCGGATGCCCTGTGTGCGAGAAATCGAGAGAGAGAAGAATTGTTAGAAACTGGTGGTTATTTCTAGAGAGCGGTAAAAGCCCCACCAGATCTAGAACTGATATTAATCCATGCAGATTACGATAAGTGGGACTAGAGTTCAGTTAATCCTCATCAGACGGACTAATCCTCTGTCAAAAAGGAATTGTTGATCTGCTCTCACAAGCCAGCGCGTACATATGGGAACATACGTGACATAATACAGGCAAGAGATCAATGTAGAATAACAGTGACGCTGTGCTACGAATGTTGATCTTTGGAGATAAATGGTGTACATGGACCCCAAGTTGTTCTGTATTTATATGTTCTAGCTAAGAATGCAACATGATAAGCTATATTTATTTTAACCCTGTGCTGGATTTCAACTTGTCATGACTCTTATGGCGAGTATAGCTTATGGTTTGATATTTTAAAGATGCATATAATGTCCAAGATTTTATTTTTTAAAGAGAAAAATTGAATTTCCCTTCTGGGATGAATAAAGTATTTTTCATTTTCAGAAAACTTTATTGGGATTATGTGACATTCGATGATCAAATCAATTTAATGCAACATCAAAGCTGCTCTCAAACACAAAAGAGGAGATTAATATGCTTGTAAAGAAACAAGAATCTGTAGTATTTAATTCCTGACGGACTAAATGTAGGGAAACAAGCATTTGTGCCAATGCCCCATATGTCCATTCAGTACTTTAATGACATGTAATCCTCTTGTAGTGAATCCAATAATGGTGAATTGTACTACTCTGAATCTCCAGTGACTTCTCTGCATCAGAGGGACGGACGGGAAACTTTGCGAGCTTAATCGTACCTGGAACTTCAGCAGGAAATTTTCCTCGACGGGCAGCAGCCTGCGGCAAAAACACAGAAGCTCGTCACGTTTCATCTCAGCAGCGAAGAAAACCAGACAAAACAGAAGCGACACTCACCTCGCCATCTCGGAGAGGCCCAGCTTCCCGTCGCCGTTCAGATCGAACATCCTCAGCTGAGTGGAAAGAAGAATGGAAAAGGGGATCTCTGAGTGAATGTGTTCTGTTCAGACACGTTAAACTTATCCGTTTATATCTATGCCTTATAATCGGTGTAGGGGGAAACACAACGCTGTAATCTGTGACACTTTAATATAACGTATTACTGCTCAGGAATCACATTACAGCCACAAATCAGATAGCGATCATCAGCATCGGCCAAAAAGAGTTTTAAGTTGAAACACTGGCATCGGCCCAAAATGAACAGAAAAAGGCAGATAAGACGACGCCGACTAACACTCCGGCAACAAGGGCGCACATGTGGACGGAGATTACATTTATTTACTTGTTTTGCAACTTGCAAAGTAGGTCAAATGTGCCCCGGTTGTGGTTGTTGTCAGGATTGTCTCAGGGAGAGCATCATCCAAGCCTGTTAGGGAGGGATTAGGTTCACAATTTGTTTGAAAAAAACAAATAAACGTGGCGTGTTTTACATTCGAGTTGATGTAGTTCTCCCCAGTTTAATATTTATTTAGTTTATGTGTGCACCTGCCAGTGACCCGTCATGATCAGATAATATGTTAATTCCTCTGCTCGATGTTCTTTGCAGTTAGGTGGAAAAGAAATATGTGCATATATCAGGATCCACATCAGCAACCAGCCAAAATGAATCGGAAAGCATCAGCATATTGGATATCGGCAACCATCCAACATTGTGCGTCCCTGGCACGGCCGGCTGCCGAAGTCAGCTTGATTCTCTCAGACAAGACGTTGAGCCTCGTTTTTGCTGCGACAGTCGGGTGTTCTTTGGGTTGTTCATCACCCAGTTTGTTATTGGTTTTGAGGTAATACTTTATTAAGGCAAACAAGAAAGATCTTGTACTAATTTCTACCAAATTGGTCAAAGGATCTGAGCTGACTTGAAGGCACGTGTAAGGTTTATCGTCTGCTGGCGTCTTGGATGATGTTGTGGAGTAAAGTATAATAAAGGGTAATGTAATGGATTACTCTAAGTGAAGCAATACATTCCCTTTAAGTGTAATGCATTACTTTTAAGGAACAACCTCCAGTACTGCTTATGACACTCACAATAGTCTGCGTGTAGTCATTGAGCTTCTTGGCATCGTAGTTTCTGTTCGCTTTCTTCAGCAGGTCTGACAGGAAACCCTGAAGAGAGAAAATACCACAGTCAGTGATGAGATCGTTAGCAGACATAGTGAAAGTCCAGGAGGTTAAAGCAAGCTGAGTATTCATTTTTAAATATGGTTTTGTTTTTCATTTTAACAGAGGATGTAATGTGCGGGCTGCAAGGTGGAGCAGTTGTTGCCTCGCAGCTAGAAGGTCACCAGTGGGGGCATCTGTCTGTGTGGAGTTTGAATGTTCTCCCCGTACAGCGTGGGTTCTCTCCGGGTTCTCCAGCTTCCTCCCACACGGTCCAAAAACATGTTGAGGTTAATTGGTGATTCTAAATTGTCTGTAGGTGTGAATGTGAGTGTGCTTGGTTGTCTGTCTCTAAGTGTAGCCCTGTGATAGACTGGTTACCTGTCCAGGTGAACCTGCCTTCACCCTAAGTCAGCTGGGATAGACTCCAGCCCCTCATGACCCTAGTGAGGATTAAGTGGTGTATAGATAATGGATGGATGTAATGTGCAGGTTCAGAGGAGTTCAATCACCATTTATACCAACAGCACAATCACACACTAATAATCCCAACCAGGGTTAGATGTGTTTATAAGAATTACTCCAGAAGCATTCATGCATTTAAAGTATTTCCTGGTGTCAGTTTTTTGGAGGATGTCGGACACTAAAAAAATCTCTCAGATGCTGGTGTCTTTAATCAAACTCCTGACTATACAGTTGTCCTCAAATGTATTCATACCCTCCCATTAAAGAAGAAGCTGTCACTGAAATAAGTTGAAATTGATAAAAGTAATAATAAATAAGAGAATAATGAAAATCATGGCATTGGTTTTGAATTGTGGTTCAACAGGAATATAAAAAAAAAAAAAACCAAACAACCATGATGGGACCCATAAACTAATATTTTGTTGAACAACACTTTGAGGCAATCACTGCAATCAAGTGTTTTGTTTTTTTTAAAATTATTCTTTCAACCACAATTCAAAAGTAATGTCTTATTTCACTAAATTATAATTTAGCAAATTTTTATTTATTATTACTTTTTTTAGTTTCTAATTATTTGAGTGACTATTGTCAATTTTGTCTTCTCTTTAATACATCTGAGGACGACTGTATAATTATCACGTATAGGGACATTTCAAACATAAAGCACAAACTAACTGTCATGGCTTCGACTTACAAGACGGAAATGTGCATGTTGTTGCAGAATCAAAGGTCTAAATGCAAACTGCACTGTACGCCTACAGATTTAGTGTTTTTACCTCCAGCTCGTTGGACTCGATGTACCCACTACGGTCGGTGTCATACCTCCGCCAGGCCTGCGGGAGAAGACGGATACTTTCAGAAAACGAGCATCGGCTTTAGCTGCAGCGACAAAATACACTCACACACACTCATGAAGACCGCGGTGACGAGAAGCGGCAGTGTCACCGGGCGCAGTGTAAATATAGAATTTGTCAAAGCCTTTATCAAAGATGGATACCTAAACCCCTCCAGCACTCACTGCCTTTCCCTGCAGAAAGCTGGTCTCCATTCATAATGTATGGCTGTCTGAGAATAGCTTTAACACAGAGAACAGCCGGAACATCACACCACTGAAAACCCTCCGAAAACAGAGTTCACCAAGCGAGTGTGTGTGCAGAGTATTTCCAACCGCCGGGGATCAGACGTTTGGTGCGTCACCATTTTCTCAGTTTCAGCATGCAGAGCCGGAGAAAGGAGGTCGTCGATGGTTTTCTTGTGTGATCCAGAAGCGCGGGTCAAATGTCTTTTTAAATAACATCCAGTTGAAGGTTACGTGTCATGTTTAGATGCTTCTCTGGCTTCAGCCACAACATCTATTTATGACAAAACAAATCTATGGATACTATGAATTAGAATCGTAGTTTGCTGTCAGGGATGAGTGTGACCTAAATGGCAAACATAGCGCGGTTTCCAGTAGAACAACATTTTGTGAGAGTTTGAGACGGCATCCAGGGTTTAAATTAACAATTTACACCCGTACTGGACTGTTTCCACGTGAACCAGGCGTCTCGACTTGGCTGAGAAACAGAAGGAATTGTGGGGCAGCTGAATGTTCGTCCCACAGGATGGACTGCGACGGCACGCTGACTTGAGGCATTTGTGGGGAAATTTCACAGCTCAGTAAGGTTCATCATCGTCAGAGCAAGTTTCCCTCCGAAATATTTGACTCAGAAACAGAGAAGGCAAACGACGGCATCGGATGAGTTCTCGAGCTCGACTGAGCAGATTTAATGTATGGAGTTATATAAGAGCGCTCGCTGCATGTCAACAAACGCACAGATGTGAACATACACAAACTTACTGCCATGAATTCAGCGCTGGATCCAACAAACTCTCTGAAACAGAGCAGGAAGTTTTCTTCTGTGGGCAGAATCTGAGCCAACTGCGTGAAGAGACGGGAGGATTATTAAGAGCTGATGAAGAAACATTTAGGATTTTTTTGCAGTACTTTCAACATACTGTGAAGTTACAGCGGTCACACACAGACAAACAGGCAAAGACGGAGCTGCTGTGTTTGATGTCTCTTTACCAAAGGACACCTCAGAGGTGGTCGGTTCTAATTTATTCTCACCTCCGACATCTCGATTCTCCCATCAGCATTCTTGTCAAAGTTGGCCATGAACTCCTTCATCTTCTCTTTGAACGCAGCGTGTGAGGGATCCTGCGAGCGCAGCAAAATTACACTTATTAAAATAAGTCAACTGAAGTCTCTGAAACAGCAACTCAGCTCTGTGTTGTCGCCTGGTTAAAGTTTCCTGTCAACACAACGAGTCATCAGTGTCCGTTAACACACGAGTATCTGGCAAGTTGCAAAATGTTAGCACAACGTTCAGTGACATGATGTTGGATTTTTTTCTGCTCTCGTGTTTGGGAATTCTCAGCACTCAGTCAACTGGCTGTCCTGACTTTCACGACACGATAATTGTGACAGTTTACAATAAAAATGTTGTCACAATATCTGTTTTTTAAAATGCATGTTAAAACAAAAAATATGATTTCTATGAGTGAAATTCATCTACAGCTTTGTATGTTGTGTGTTTTGTCACTTTTTGGTGGTTAAAATTCCAGTTTAGGAAGGTGAAGAGAGACTTTTTTTTTTCTGGAGCTGATACCGATCACACTGGTCTACACCCATTTTGGTGTCAAAGTTTTTTGAGCTGATTTTGGACAACTGCAATGTGCTGAATCCAAATATTACATTGGTTTTGCCCAATGAGGTCAAAATTTGATGAAACATGCAATTTACTTGTATTTACCTTTACAAATATTTACGCTCATCAACTTTTGGATCATTTAACTTATGAAAAGGATTAGCAATGAAATTTTTCCTCTCAAACCCAATTTCATATGAGAAATACTAAAACAAATCAATCGCTAATGTCAAAAAATGTAATCGATTTAGTGGTAAAATCAATTTGTTTTTAATCGAGTTGGCATAAAAACCTGACCTGATACAGAAAAGCAGATGTCATTTTTGGATTCAGCGTTGCAAAAATGTCCTAATCAGTTTTTAAAAATCCTAGACACCTTCAAAAAAGTATTTTTTTGTAACCCAGTGTTATAAATAACCAAGAAGACAGATATTAGGACCGATATTAGGAACAGATACGTGTTTGTAGCAAAAATAAAAATCCTGGTGGCAAAGTTTATAATAACACAAACTTCAACAATACACTTAATTTTCCTAATTTATGTTTTGCATATGTTTAATTAAAAGAGAACCCGTCGACATTTATTCTTCAGTGCTAATTGGCTGCTACTCGTGACGTGCAACCAATCACACGGCGCAGTGGGCGGGACTTTGCTCACCAGCACAGAGAGGCATCAGAGCCACGGTGGCACATTTTTGAATTAATTTATTTGATCAGGAATCAGTTAAAGAAAATAATGATACTGATGATCGGGGACTTGATGTATTTCAGATCCAAAAACTGGTCCAGCTGTTAATGGGTTGATTTGTACTGTACGGAGTGTCAACCAGATAGTTACTGAATTATCATAAGCTTTATATTAACATGATTCGATTTTTTTTTTTTTTTTAATATCACACTTATCTGCAGCAGTCCCCTCATTAGTAGCTGTTAAACATATCTTCTATGACACAGGGATGCCCACTTGTGATAAATACGTCCCTTCTCATTTTCTCAAACAGCAGCTTGAAGGTGAAAGTCAAACAGAATGTGACGTTACAGTCGCTCGTGTCACTTCGGTATCCGGCGACGAGGCGTTCGAGCGCCCACTCACCACTCCCGCTCCTCGTCTCGCGGTCTCCAGCTCTTTGAAGAAGTTCTCCAGCTCCTTCCCTTCGATGTAACCGTTTCCTGCGGCGCGGCAGAGGGACAAAATTAGTTCGGCACAAATGGCGCTGTGAAGCTTTTGAGTGGCTTCGAGCTTTGTTGACCGTTCAGAAGATTGATTAAAGACTCAGATGGAAGATTAGAGGTCACCGGGGGTCTGGAAAATCTTGGAACGGTTGCCAAACCGGTTCCAACTCCTCCGTGACTGAACCAGAGTAAGCAGTTTACAGGATTGCATACAGAGAGTTTTATATGCACACAGCTGGACTTAAATCAGTTTGACCATTTCTAACAGCCTTTGCTTGGCTTAGCCCCGAATTCAGCACACAAGTCAAAACACAACTCTGGGTCGCTATTATTCAAGTTTTTGGGTGAGTCCTGGAGCTTTTGCAACACAGTGGAGAAAAGATTACCACGTTATATCATCGCTACACGACAGAAAACTTTTAATTGAAAACTCTCTTTGGTGCACTGAAGGCACGACGCACAGAAACAAGGTCAAGTCCACAGAATATCATGTATTCATGCCAAATTGGCATTTAGCTGTGGAGAGAACTGTGGAGACTCAGTGACGTGCTGCAGCAGGAAGGAAACAGACCACAAGAGTCAAGTGCCGTTGGAGTGTAAGCAGTATAATGAGCGTTTTCTTGCCTAAGAGGCTGAAAGTGGGCAGTCAGCTTGATGCTTATTGGGGCATTCTGTCCCTCTGTCTGAGTTTGTACTTCTTATGACAGTCACATGACCGGGGATGATTTAATACAATAATTTACTCCACTGGTTTGCCTGCGAGTCACAGGGTAACATATAGGACATTCAGCGTTCTCTTTTTAATCAGAAGAATGAGTCCCATCTGTCTACAATCCGGCCGGGGGATTTGGGCTTTTTGCCTTTTATCGTACAAAAAAAAAATTATTTCAATTCAGAGTAAAACACAGATGTACAGAATAAAATGCAGAGATTCACCCTGCTCCCTTCTTCATCTCTTAATCTCTTATCCTCTCATCTCCTTTCCTTTTTGATGATTTTCTCCCTCACCTCCCCCATCTCCCTGCCCAGCTTCATTTGCACACTGTATTTCATAGGTGCTCCATGTCACCATCTGTGCTTTGGATGAGCTGGTGTTTTAGATACAAACAACTCGACGCCGCGACGCAAAGCCGCGGGCGCAGAAAAACAAAGCAAGCCGATTGACGGACTAAAGCCTGCATGTATACAGCCCGACATCCATCTTTAGTTCAATTGCACTTTAATTCTTCATAATTTACAGAAAGGCTGAAAGACGCCCCAAAAAAATAACCTGCATCCGTTTATGATAACGTGGGGGGCGGATAGTTTTCACTTCACAAAGAATTTATGTTGTAAAATTGGACCCAGCTGTCAGGAGCCACAGTCTGGACATGAACATTGTGCTTTGATGACTGATGAACTGATTTAAAGCTGAAGCTCCTCCAGTGAAAGTGAACTAAACGTGGGCTTTATGTTTAAAGCTGGTGTATGCAATTCATTCCAGAGGCATTATTTGCTGTTGAAAGTCTGTTTACATCCCAACAGCAATCTTGTGTTTTCGAAATTAAAAAAAACAGATGAAGAGTACATTTGCAAAAACAGAAAAACAAATCTACAGGAAACCCACGTTTCCATCATCTACCTGAGACAGTATCAATCAAACTTAAGTTATCTCTATTTTTATCATTTCTACTGAGTCAGATCCACTCAACATCCAACAACAAAAAAATTCGCTTTTAGAAAATCTACAAAAATGGACTTATCTGTTTTTGCAAATGAACTCTTGCAATATGTTTTCATGGCAGCGATGTACCTGTAAAAAGTCTGTCCGATCATTGCATTTGCTCTGCTTGAGCCCACCTGCCTATTAAACTACGTACCTGCATGCACTCTGCACAAGAACAGCAGCCACGTTTTACTGTTGCACCTAAACCTACAACAAGCACAGCAGATGATCACGGTCAGTCGTATTTGTGCGTCTTTCTTTGTAATCTCCATTATCCTCTACTTTCATTAGTGTGTGTTTACACATGTCTGTGCATCACCGCCTGTCTGCACTGCAGCCTCGCTGTCAGCAAGTGTAGCTTTATGGTATTTATCTTATGGTAGTCTATATTGGCTATTTAAAAAAAAAAAAATAAATGTTTTGCAAATGTAGTGATGTAGCCTGTTTGTGTGTTTTTAAACACGAGGTAGTTTTAATGCGTTGCACTTCGCTCCCCATCAGTCGTGGATTAGTCCTCCAGCTGTGAGTGTTCAGACGTGGCTTTGCAGGGAGAGCTCAAAGATGGAGATGGGCTTTTTTTTTGTCAGTTGTTATCTTTGAAAATCTAGCTCACTTTATCTGTTTCTACAGTCTTGCATACTCCAGCTTTAAGAAACTGCCAAATTAAGAGCTCTGTGAGGCTGCACACATGAGCAGCACCACGCTAACATGCTGATGTTTTGAAGGTACAGCGTTCATCATCTTTACCAGCTTAGCTTAGCATTAGCTACTCAGCATTAAACACAACATACAGCTGAGGCTGATGGGAATGTCGTTAAGTCTGCACGCACAAACCCAAGTAAAAGTGAAAAACTCTGACGAAAGGATGGCGTCACATGAAAAGTGAAGCGAAGTGAATGTCTTTCATTTTGAGGATGACACGAATGTCTGGACCAAGTTTCAGAACAATCTAATAGTTAGTGGACTGACTGACACACTGAGATGCAAGAAATGATAAAATGAAGTATTCAAATTCACTTCTTTTTATATTCAATGCTTAGATGAACATTTCAACTTGTTCATGTTAAAACTTCAGAATCATCTAAAAGGTCTTAATTAAGAGTTTTAGGGGAGAAAGCACATACTTTATACATGTTGAACTGCAAGCTCACAACATCAACAGATAGACAAAAATCATATCTGTGCAAGACGTTCCCTTTGACTTGCCTGAGAGCCCCTTAAAGACTAGATATGAGCTGTCTTCTGAGATTACTTCCTCTTTTTTAGAGAGCAATTACTGAGATTTAGCACCCTGATAGCGTGGCTGGAGAAGATGCTTAATAACGTAATTCAGACACTTGTGAAGTTACTCAAACAATCACACATCTGTACCTTTATTTTTAGGGAGGAACAGCCAAACACAAGATCGCAAAATTTTGTACACAAACTTGTATAGAATCTTCTTTTTTTTCTAACCTGTGACCAGTGGCTCAGTGAGGCTCAGCATAAACTAAAGCGTGTTTGCAGGAGTTGAACAGACCATGTTTCATCATATGATAAAAAAAAAAGTTAATTGTGCATAATGGCATCAGCACTGTAGGCCAAGACTAAACTATTTCCTCCTCATGTCTCTACTGTGCAGGTAGCTGTTGGCAAAACAAGAAATCCTGCTCTGATCGATCCAAATTCACTCTACTGAACGCTATTAACCACCTTGTACTGTCACAGCACGTCCACCTAATATTTTATGTTTGTTCTCCAAATGAACGTCCTGATTTGAACTCTTATCTGCCCTTTTCACCTGACAAATGCCACGTCATGTCCAGTTCGCTCTTTTGGATGATGTAGGGATTAAATGATTAAATGCAGAGCAAAGAATCTTATTTTGGAAAAGAACAAATAATCTGAAGTATGTTTGCGTTGGAATCCTGTGACTTGTAATAAAGCTCGCATAAGTAACTGTGTTCTCAGCTCACTGGGGCTCACTGCCAGAGTTTAGTTGCAATCCAAATCTGAGCTGTCACATGGAGCGCACCACTGCACACTGAGCAGATGCAGTCCCCTCTCTCACAAAACATTTCCAAACACAGCTCAACTGCTGATTGCTCAATGGCACCTCGAAAAACAATCCCGCCGCCTAACACGTAATGACTGAAGCGGGGTCAGGCGAGGGACAGATCGAGAGAGGGTGACTGAGTTTTTCATCCCTAAAGGTGCAAAGATGAGGCCACATGAGGTCCCGAACGCCGCGGCGTCGCTCTTCAAGTGGATGAGTTGTTTTTGTTTGTATGATTAAGAGGGAAATACGCTCCGTTGTTTGTGCGTGATCGACCGTGAAGACAACTTTTTCCTACAAATGGGAAGCGTTCTGCCTTGCAGCTGTGGTAAAGACAAACAATCTGCAGATGCAATGATGCCATTTCAGTCAACTGAACTACATCGCCGACACGTCCCCGGAATAAACTGTTTCACAATGGGTGGACGAAGGATTGTCTGTGTTTACTGTCTCTATGGAGAGGCTCAATCTTTTTTTTTTACCAAATGTCTGATTCATTCTAGTAGTAAAAAAATCTGCTAAAGCTGGTCACGCTCTGGTTCTGGTAAGGCTGTGAGGTCTGTGGTGGAATTACCAACTTAATTTGGTTTAATTTACTGCATCAGATGTTTGTACAGTCAGACATGTCTTTAAACGTGATGGTTTATGTATAAATCGTGGAGATATATTGACTCATCTAGGTGGGGAAGTAATAACCTTCTTTAACCTTTCTTGTACCCTTAACAAAAAAAAGTCACTGCATTTAAAAAGTTCTGGGTAAACTACACGTGGATCAGTTGACCATCTACAGCATCTATATCAGTATTTGCTGATTTGTCTGATGAATCAAACACTAGTGTAAAACTGAGAAGGCGTTTTCTCTCATTACATACCAATAAATCACTTAAAGTCTCACTTTAGTAAATGATTTTAACTCCTAAAAACTCATCTCAGTGGATTAAAGTTACATAATTAGAAGTTATTTCCATGAAAATAATCCTTCCCCGCCTTAAAAAAGGTTTTGATGCAACCCCACTACAATATGGAGATCTACGAAGCCCCTGCCTCTCTCTCCACTCAACTCTTCACTACTCGCTGCAGCTCGAGCACACCAGCTCACCCGCCTATGCTCAAATGCTGTAAAACTACTTTGTGCTACACAAGTTGTAAACCTGAAGTAATCCAGCCATGTATGTTTAATCCAGGATCCAATGCTGATGAGGAGTAATGATGCAGAAAGCTCCACCCTGCAAGCGGACATGATTGGTTCATTAGATTTGTTATGAAACTCCTGAAGTCTGAATCTGTGTTTTTTGGGGGACTGTCGTCAGCTCACTGCAGCGTCAGCATAAAGATGTGTAGCCGTGGAGCTCATTGTTCTCATGATGCGTCTTCCTGCATTTAAAAAACACCATCTGGACACGTCAGAAAACTTTTCAACCGCGGGGTCCGTAAACGTAGCTGCTGATAAGCTGTGATCACCCTCTGCTCCGTCAACACCACTACAGTAGTCATAGCTGAGGTTTACATGCACCAAACTGGAGGCTTGGAAGGAAACGGGCTGCAAACAGCAGCTTGCAGCGAGGCTGGACTGTGGAGGCTTTGTGGGATATTGCAGCCCTGTTAGTCGATAGTGTTTTATGAAAACAAACTGTGAGTTTATTGGACGGGGTTTTCAGAAGAGGTTTAGCTGTAGAGGTCGTGGCTTTTTTCTGAATGGCTCAAAAAATAATCCTTCAATTGAAGTCGCAACATGAACATCAGTAAAGCTGGAGTGGCTCAAAGTGAGACGGCGACAGCAGCCGTATG